AATTCTAAAGCTCATTGATTTGTGTTTATTTTAATAAATCTTACTGCATGCATCATGTACAAGTGAGGGGTATCATAATTTCAGCAAAGTCACTTGTCTTGGATAGAATCCACAAAATGGGAATTGCAATTCATATGTAACAAATGATTTTTTTTTTTTTTAAGTCTTTTGTCACTAGACTACTTCTATTTCTGGAAAAGATCTTGGCACATTTAGAAATAATCTTTCTAACTGAATCAATCTTTGAACTGATGACAAAAATTAAAATTATATCTATTGTCTGCCTGAATACACCTGATTCGTTCTTAAAAAATAAATTATGTGCTATTAGCATTATAGAAAAACAAGTGAAGTTTAAAAAATATTATATGAGCATTCGTAACTTTCTTAACACTTAGGAGACAGATAGATTGTTTATGGCATTTATGCATTCTTTACATAATCAAGGCTTCCACCAAAGTAAAAAATAACTTTCTGTGCTTGACATTTGGATGAACATTTGGTAGAGGAAATTATACCTTTTCCTTAAGCCTCTCTAATACATATTTACAAACAAGTGCTTTGTAGATGTACTTCCAAGTAATTTGCTTTCACATTTGCCTGCTGTGCTTAGAGCTGAGATATGGTTGGGTTTGCAAGATGAAACAAATGAATGCTTATCAGTTTCCAAGCCAGGGTTTTAGTTAATGTCCTTCCATGACTTCCCAAAACTCCTCCCCACCCCCAATTTCAGTTAAAGTTCAACCATTTGGGTTTTGAGTGCAGTATAGCGAGACTGTGATTGATACCATCAGGCACTGAAACTGTGCCTTGCTAGTGGATCAGGCAGCTAGGCAAAAGGAAAACAATGCCAACCCTATTATAAAATCCCAGCCTTTTAGGTTCACTGGGAGCTGACAACACAATGTAGCAGAAAAAGCAGATTCTTGTGTTGTTTACTTTTAATGCAAGTAGGAGGCCTTGAATCAGACAGAGCCCATTAGAGCTTCTTCTAAAGACTTCTCTCTATTGAGAGAACCTAGCTTAAGTGTCTCCCAGTGAAGTCTGATGTGTGGTAGCTCATTTGACCTTTGAAGACCATCTCTACTGCGTGGCTGGTTTTTATAACTTCTCCAGGGAAAATTTAGTCTATGTATTGTAGTATATTGCCAGTAAGCAGTTATTTCAGTGGGTCTAGTGGGTCTGTCCCACTTAAATGGCCCTTGTAAATATTCACAATCCATCACTTTGGCTCTTAGTTGAGACGAGTTGATAAGGCCACACTTAATATTGCTTCCTGCCTGTCTGAGTGTGTGTCCACTGTGAGTGACGTGGTTAAATCAGTGAGCCAACCATGAATCTTAATAGCTTAGGAAATATTCATCAGAACACTTTTCTCCTCTGGCTCCTGTAGTTCTAGGCAGGCTTTCTGAGGGAGTGGAAAATAACCAGTCCGTGTTAAGACTCCTGTATATTATGGCCACCAGCAGGAAGATCTCTATGAAGCACATGGCCAAAATGATGAACAGCTGCAGAGCTCACCAGAGTGATCATTTGCTTTGCTGACATATAACTGCATTGATACATTCAGCCAAGATGTTTTTCAGGTGTTCCTAGAAAAGCATACTTTTTTTTTTTTTTTAACCTAAAGGTTAGTGTTTGATGAAGCTGTTGTAATCTTTAGAGCACCACCATACGTTCTCTCTCAATTTTCCCTCTGACTTCTGTGATCACAGGAACCATAACCAGTGCATCTATGCTAGTGCCTAGCACAGCCTCAGGAACTTTTTAGGCACTTCAAAAATATTTCTTGCGTGAATGACTTAAATAAAAATTCTCTGCTATTAGGGCTTCTCTAGGGGCAGTAGATAGCGCTTTCTGTGTGTGTGACTGCAGTGGGCAAAATACCTTTGTCATGGAAAATCAGTAGGAGAATCAGATATAGCATGTCCTTTCCTTTCCCCTTCCCTTCTCTTCCCTTCTCTTTTCCCTCCTCTCCCCTCCCCTCCCCTCCCCTCCCATGACAGAGTTTTGCTCTTGTTGTCCAGGCTGAGGTGCAATGGCACGACCTCGGCTCACTACAACCTCCACCTCCCAGGTTCAAGAGATTCTCCTGCTTCAACCTCCAGAGTAGATGGGATTACAGATGCCCTCCACCACCCTGGCGAATTTTTATTTTTATTTTTAGTAGAGATGAAGTTTTACCATGTTGGTCAGGCTGGTCTTGAACTCCTGATCTCCAGTGATCCACCCACCTCAGCCTCTCAGAGCGCTGGAATTACAGGCCTAAGCCACCCAGCCTGTGTGTTCTTTCTTAGTAGTCTTTATCATTCAGTTCCTCTGAATCACCTGACATTTGCATCTTTAGTCACTCTCTTTACTGTTCCTCAGTCCTTGTCAGGCCCCTGCTCTAAGCCCAGTGAATGTGTGGGTTTGTATTTCACTAGTGTTCTCCAGGCCCAGGGCTCTGTTTTGTCTTCCTGGGGACTCTGTGCACACCTGCCTCTCTGTACACAACACAGAAGACCACTCTCCATTGGTCACTGCTGGATCACTCATCTGTCTCCCTCTTGGACTGTCAGCTCCCTGAAGCAGGGGTTTGGGTTTCTTTTCTAAGCCCTGTATCTCATGTTGTGTTTCACCCATTGTGGGCTGTGTGGAAGTTTACAGACTGAAAACAGGAACTAAAGAAATGAATGAAGAAAATGAATGTATCAGTAGATTATCTTTTTTTTAAAAGCAACTTTTAATGTTGTATATTTAAGATATAAACATGATGTTATGGAATACCTGGAGATACTTTATCTATCATCTAATATCCATCATCTCACATGGTTACCCATTTCTGCTTTTGGCAAGAGCAGCTAAAATCTACTTATTTAGCATGGAATCCATATACAGTACACTTTTTCTTTTTCCCCCGACCTCCCATCTACAGTACAGTTTTATTACTGACGATCCTCCTGTTGTGCCTTAGGTTGCTAGATTTGTTGGCAGAATTAGATTGTTCGTGAGCACTTGTCTTCAGACAGTGGCTGGAAGTGTGAGAGCCCAGGGGTCAGGGCACAGGGTTGCTGTGATCAGCCTGTCACTAAGCCCTGTCATCTGGCCTGACTGCTATGGATGTGGCACCCTACTAAGACATTCCTCAGTGCCAGGTGAGGACCTCACAAATAAAATAAAAATGAGGTTTATAGAGATGTAGCACTAAAAATGAGATGCCTGGATTACCAGAAGCCTGCAGGCATTGGGTTTGAAATGAACTAGATCAGGTCTAGTAGTTAGATCAAAAATTCAAAAGGCCCTTATTTTATTCATTTATTTTGAGACAGGATCTCGCTCTGTCACCCAAGCTGGAGTGGAGTGGCATGATCTCAGCTCACTGCAGCCTCGACCTCCCAGGCTCAAGCAATCCTCCCATCTCAGCCTCCCAAGTAGCTGGGACTACAGGCATGCACCACCACACTCAGCTAATATTTAACCTTTTTGTAGAAATGATATCTCACTATGTTGCCCATCCTAGTTTCAAACTCCTGAGCTCAGGGAACCCCCCTGCTTCGGTCGCCCAAGGTACTGGGATTACAGGCATGGGCCACCGGGCCTGGCTGAAAGGCCTTTAATATGTAGCCTGTTTCTCATGGCTTTGCATCCTACAAAGCTGTTCTCCATAATGTTCCTGTGATGTGAGGAACTTCAGGTCCAAGGCTTAAAGGTGAATGGAAAGCCCAGGGAATCAAATAAGACAAGCGTTAAATAGTACATCTAATGATGTAGTTTTCAGAATACATAATTGTACAATTTTAAAGCAATGAATAATTTAACATCTTAAATAAAAATAATACATGTGGCATCAAGTGAAAATAGTACCAAGAGTCTAAGAGAGAGTGCCTGGGTCTCCCCACACCCACCTCTTCATCATCACTGGAGTTACCACGTAACCTGTGTGCTACACTTACACCGCAGCTCCGTGATAAATCACTTTTAAATGGTCAATGGTCTGCCATCCACTATGTAAAATAAGGAGAAATTTAGCTATTTACACTCCTCCCTTTCTTCTTACCAATATTTTATAATAAAATTATTTTTAGTTCTTTTGTTGGTCAGCGCTATAATCTTATGAATTTCCTGGAGTTTCCATTTTTTGGAATTCATGTGGTTTCCCTTGTGTCTCTGGATGTCCCTGTGCTGTAAGGTGAGGATGTTGATGCCTTCACTACACCTTCCCTCTCCTGTTTCAGAACTTACATTTACCAGCTCCTCTTTTACTTTTTCACTAACATGGAAGTATATTTGTATCTATATTTTGTCCTGCAGGGAGTGATCCTAAAGGGAAAAATGAAATCTGAAGACATTAAGTGACTTGAGTAATGTTTCATAGCTGGTTGATGTTACAGCTGGGACTAAAACCTGGGGCATTTGACTCCCTTTTTAGTAGGCTTTCTGCAGATAAACTCAGTAATTCACTCATCTAATGTTTATTGAGTGCTTATTTTTCTCCAGGAACTAGGTACCAGTAATACAAAAATAATAAGTGGTCTCAAATTGCATGCTTTATAATCAAGGAAGAAAGATAGATATGTAAACAAATAACTAGGTTTCAGTGCAATAATGTGCAAAGGAAGGTGCCATCTGATTTTTTCTTTATATTCCACAGGCCAGAGATTAGAATAACTGCTATAACTATTAAAACTGGCAGCTTTGATGTGTTGAGGAAACAGTGTTTTACTCAGGCCACTTATGCATATTTAAAAAATAAGTAAGACTTTGCTGATATGCTTCCAGGAAAGTAATTTAAGTGGTCTCTTTCAAGATTAAATATGAAAGCAGATTTTAAAAATAATGTGTAATTATAAATTATATGTTTTATGCTCAGCATATTTTTATGTGAAAAGAACATCAGAATATTCTTCAGTTGTCCTTATGGGGTTGTTTAGTGTTTTGACTTAAAGTTTAAGGTTTATGCATTTGTCGTACATTCTTTTTATGGTGACTTGTGAACTTTTTCTTTTTCCTTTCCTCAGATTTTCATCACCGTGAATTGCTTGAGTACAGATTTCTCCTCCCAAAAAGGGGTGAAAGGACTTCCTTTGATGATTCAGATTGACACATACAGCTATAACAATCGTAGCAATAAACCTATTCATAGAGCTTATTGCCAGATCAAGGTCTTCTGTGACAAAGTGAGTAAAGATGACAGTCTTTTTTTATAAAGGTGTCTTTGTTATTAGACATTACTTTTAATGGCATTTCTCCCTTGTCACCTTCACTTGTCCAGTGGTGTCAAAATAGTTACTTAACCCTTCGCAGTGGGAGTGGTAATCTTTTACCCTCAGTTCCTGTTAGATATCTAGGAAGTCTTCAGTCAACGGTATTTTTTTTTTTCTTTCAGTTTATCATTTTTATCACTAACTTAATGACTCACTGACTGTTTCTTAGTCAGCTCAGACTGCCATACCAAAAAACCATAGACTGGGTGGCTTAAACAACTGAAATGTATTCTTCAAAGTTCTAGAGGCTGGAAAGTCCAAGGTCAAGGCATCAGCTAATTTGGATCCTAGTGAGGGCTCTCTTCCTGGCTTGCAGACAGCTGCCTTCTCACTGTGTCCTCACATGGCATAGAGAGAGCACGTGCACAGCTCTCTGGTATCTCTCTTCCTAAGGACACTAATTTTATCATAAAGACTCTATCCTCATGACCTCATCTAAACCCAATTACCTCCCCAAAATTTCACCCCCAAATACCATTACATTGGGAATTTGGGGTCCAACTTATGAATTTTGGGGGTATACAAATTTTATAACACATTGTGCTCTAAGTTTGATCCAATTAGATAGCTCGAATAACAGATTAATACTCTTTACTGGGTGGAAACCCTGTCCCAGAGCATATTGGCACATCTGTTATTATGGGTTAAATGGGACCTTATCTAGGACTTTTTGGAATGGAAATAGCACTTATAAAATAAGTTCATTAGTACATATTCACTTAGTAAACATGTACTTTGAATCTCCCTGAATCCCACCCCAAAAGAGTAAAAAAATTTGAACAGCAAAACTTAAAACCCCATGATTAGGTGACAGATCTTCACAAATCCCACATATGAATAGGACCAAGCATCAACAGTTTCAAAACCTGTGTGATATCAGCATTTGTGAGGGAAAGTAATGGGGCCACTTGATAGCCAAATAACAGAAAACCTACAAAATTGTCCAAAGTACTCACTGGAAAGTGAAGTGGGTGTCTCAGGGCAGCACGTGAGACTCAGGTAGGAGGGAACAGATCTAGTGGATTTGCATTTGCTGGCAAGTGCAGGGGACTGAGCATTGAAATGTTATGAGCTCCATGAACTCTGAGAAGTTAGAAACTAAAGTTTCTTTCTAAGGCAAAACCCTGCCCTGGAAACAAAAAGTGTTCAGAGTAAAGTCCAAGCTGAGTTGGAAAAAAAGGTGAAAAGGAAAGAGGAGGTCAAAATAAAAGTGAAGATGAAGATGGGACTAAATACAGAGTGGGCAGATCTCAGAAAAATCTGACTATGTTTGTATCACTTTGTGAACACAGCAGATGGGGAGCCTGGGAGCATGAAGCTAGAGGAAATCCTGGCTCACTCATTTCGCTTGAAAATGACCAACAGAAAAGAAAAAGCAATTAAATCCCATACAATGTTTCATGAGAAAAGAGATTAAGATCAGACTGCCTTCCCTATGAATAATGAATACCTATCAAAAAGGCCTACAAAACAGGCGAAATCTGTAGCCTAATATTTCAAAATAAGCTAAATGAAATTAAAGAAATAATGGAAGTTTGAAGATCAACATAAATCACAATTTGAAAAACTCAACTTGAGATGTGTAGAAAAAATAGAATGACTTGAAAGGAGATGAGCTGGAACTCATGGAATTTAGAAATAAAAGATTAAAATATATTAGAAATAAAAACTATGCTAGAAGCAGTACAGAGTAAATAAATGTAAAAGATAATGCTTTAAGAAAACAAGCTGGAAAACAACAAAGTTTTTAAAATCAGAGGAAATGAAGAAAGAGGTGTGAGAGAAAATACAGATATAGATGAAAGGTAAAGAAGTAATATAGGCCAGGTGCATGGCTCACACCTGTAATCCCAGCACTTTGGGAGGCCAAGGTGGAAGGATCACATGAGTCCAGGAGTTTGAGGCCAGCTTAGGCAACAAAGCAAGACCCTCATCTCTACAGAAAAATGTAAACATTACCCAAGTTCAGTGATGCATGTCTGTAGTCCTAGGTACTCAGGAGGCTGAGGCAGGATGATTGTTTGAGTCTAGGAGTTTGAGGTTGCAGTGAACTATGCTCCAGCCTGGGTAACAGAGTGAGACCCTATCTTTAAAAAAAACTTCAGCGTACATATAATATAAATATTTGAGAAAAAAAAGTGGGAGGGTAGAATAATAAAAATATATATGCTTTAAATATGCATTTAAATACATATGCTCTAAGGAAAACTTTAAACAGAAAATGTATGTATTTGAACAGCCCACCACCCACTTGGGAAAATTGATCCAGTATAACCAATACCAAGTAGTTAAGTTATTGGACTTTTTGAGAAAAGAAAATAATATTATTTGGGCATCTCAGTAAATAAATATTAAATCACTTATAAGGCAAATTTGATTATCAAACTTTTCAACAGCAATACCTTGTCAGAGACAATGTTATTTAAGGTAACAAAGTAAAGAAAATGTGAGCCAAGAAATTTATACACAGCCAAATTGACTTTGAAGCATAAAGAGAAACAGGCACAACAAAATAAAATAAACTCCCTAAATCCAGAGAATATTTCTTCTTAGAGACTCCAGTGGTGAACAAACTTTAGATAAGCAATGGTACTATAAGGACACTGATAAAATGACTGGTGGTGAGCATCGATCTGTTTGCCTGTAGATCTCATTCCAAATGATGGCAGAGACAGTGTGACAGTATATTCTGATAAGGTAGACATTGTACAATTATTTTAAAATTGGGAAGGATAGGAAGGAGGATATATAAAAAATAAGTTGACTGACCGCTTATAGATATTCCTTGTAAATGAAAGGATATTAGTTCATATTAGATGCTGGGGGGAGAGAGGAAGGGAGAGATATTACTAGCCAGTTCACTATGGCCCATCACTCTTTTTAAAAAATTATTTTTCCATAAGTTATTGGGGTACAGGTGGTGTTTGATTACGTAAATTCTTTAGTGGTGATCGGTGAGATTTTGGTGTGCCCATCACCTGAGCCCATCACGCTGTACCATATTTGTAGTCTTTTATCCCTTGCCCCCCTCCCACTTTTCCCCAGAATTCCCCAAAGTCCATTGTATCATTCTTATGCCTTTGCGTCCTCATAGCTTAGCTCCCACATATCAGTGAGAACATGTGATGTTTGGTTTTCCATTCCTGAGTTATGTCACTTAGAACAATAGTCTCCAATCTTATCCAGGTCATTGCAGATGCTGTTAATTCAGCCCATTACCCTTAAAGGTGCTGCAGTCTGTTGTATTAAAGGTCTATATGCTGTTAACATTCCTGAGAGTTCTGGTTTAGCAATAACAGAGCATTGAGAGAAGTAGGCTCCTGTGAGCAGAGAGCAGTGGCAGGAGGAAGCAAAGATAGGCCATGACAATTTCAGTTAATGCCAATCATCCAGCTATCAGGGCAGCACAGCAATCAATAGGACAGTTTCCATGACACTGGTAGGACAATAGGACAGTACACAGCAGGACAGTTTAGGACAGTTCACAGTAGGACAATTCACAATACACAGTATACAGTAGGACAGTTCATAGTACACAGTAGGACAGTGCACAGTAAGACAGTTCACAGTACATAGTAGGACAGCTCACAGTACACAGTAGGACAGAGCACAGTACACAGTAGGACAGTACACAGTAAGTACACAGTAGCACAGTAGGACAGTTCACAATACATAATACACAGTAGGACAGTTTAGGACAGTTCACAGTATACAGTAGGACAGTTCACAATACACAGTACACAGTAGGACTGTACACAATAGGACAGTTCACAGTACATAGCAGGACTGTAGGACAGTACACAGTAGGACAGTTCACAGTGCACAGTAGGACAGTTTCCATGACACAGCAATCAGTAGGACAGTTTCCAGGACAGCAGGGAGGTTTCTGTGACAATTTCTAGAGGCCTGTTAAATCAATAGACATAGCTGTGTAGAAATGGTGAAATATCAAAGGTACAGACAGCATAAGTAATTTCCCCAGAGACACACAGGGAGAATGCAGAGGAGTAAGATGCAAATCTAGGCTTGATTTCAAACTCATTCTCCTGGAATTGATAAATAACTTTATACAAAAAATACTGAAGTGACAACTGGCAATTCAAAACCTCAACAAAGAGCCAAAGTGGCCTTTAAAAACAAAACAAATCCCCCCCAAAAAATCAGCTTATGTCTTTAATTCAGCAATATTAAATATTAAGAAACATTTTCAAGCAATGTATAAGAGATCTTTTTTAAAGCATAAATAACAAAGCATTTAAATAATTTGAATTCCCTTACTTCATTTCAGATATTCCAGGGGAGATTGTAGAATCCCCCTCTATGAATCCCCTTCTTAGACATAAAGAATAAAGTTAGAAATGAGGAGAAAGAGGGGGAAGAATTAGAGGAATCTGGCAATCCATTCATTTTCACTTTGGCAGTTGGAATTAAAAGTGAGAGAAAGGGTTAAGGATTCTTCTAAAATTATTTTACATTACAGAGTTAATGCAATAAGTAATAAGAAAAAGAAAGAATAAAAGCTTGCAGAATGCATGGATAATGTTCTATTGTTGTTAACCTATGTCCTAGAATGAGAGGGACTATAAGATGCTAAGAGGGCAAATAAAATTATTGACTGATTATACCTTTTGTTTGAAAATATTTTTATACATTTTCATTCAGTTGTTTTAACCTCTAAAAGGGAGAGGGCTAAAAAGAGGATTATATGGATTTTTCCAAAGCAGTTTTTTCCGGAGGTCATGCTAAGAGGGAAATCTGTGACAAGGAAATAAATGGTTGGGAGAACCACTTATTTGTGTGAACATGTTTGTAAATATGCATGAAAACTGGGAAGAGTATATCAACAAATACTTTGCCAATCAGAAAGTAGGGGGCATTTCCAATTGCTCACATTTTGCCTATCAGTCTAGTAA